CCCATTGGACATATATACCACATGTTTTGATCCATTCATCCATTAGTGGACATTTAGGTTGCTTCCAAATCTGGGCGATTGTAAATAATGCTGCTATGAACATGGTAGTGCAGCTAGCTCCTGATTTCAATTCTTTTGGATACATACCCAGAATGGGATTGCTGGATTATATGGTAGCTCTGTTTTTAATTTTTTGAGGGCCCTCCATACTATTTTCCATAGTGGCTGCACCAATTAACATCCCCATCAATGCCGTACAAGGGTTCTAACTTCTCCATCACCTTGATTTACTAGCTAGGTTCTTCTTTTTTCTTTTTATGTTTATTTTTGAGAGAGACAGAGCACGAGCAGGAGAGGGGCAGGGAGAGAGGGAGACACAGAACCCGAAGCAGGCTCCAGGCTCCGAGCTGTCAGCACAGAGTCTTATGCGGAGCTCGAATCCATGAACTGCAAGATCATGACCTGAACGGAAGTCGGACGCTTAACCGACTGAGCCATCCAGGTGCCTCCACTAGGTTCTTTCTTAAGAACAAAGCTTATTCTTTGAGCTTCCCATCCCTAGAGTCATGGTCCTTTCTAGAGTCGATGAGAAAAACCTTTTTTCAGTGAATAACGAATTTCTTTTAAAATCCACTTCTGGGGCACCTGGGTGGCTTGGTTAAGCACCTGATGTTGGCTCAGGTCATGATCTCTCGGTTCGTGGGTTCGAGCCCTGCATCAGGCTCTGTGCTGACAGCTCAGAGCCTGGAGCTTGCTTCGGATTCTGTGTTTCCCTTTTCTCTGCCCCTCCCCTGCTTACCCTCTATTTCTGTCTCTCAAAAATGAATAAATAGGGGCACCTGGGTGGCTCAGTCGGTTAAGCGTGTGACTTGAACTCAGGTCATGATCTCATGGGTTGGGGTTCGAGCCCTGTGTCGAGCTCTGTGCTGACAGCTAGCTTAGAGCCTGCAGCCTGTTTCAGATTCCGTGTCTCCCTCTCTCTCTCTAACCCTCCCCTGTTCATGCTCTCTCTCTCTCTCTCTCTCAGAAATAAATAAAACATTTTAAAAAAGTGAATAAACATTAAAAAGAAAGAAGGAAAGAAAAATAAAGTCCACTTCCTAATTTTAAACTACACGTTCTCCAAGTCCTGTCCTCTTTCAGTGTGAATTCTACCATGGCATGGTGAGTCCTCCAGGGTTTCTGTTTCTCTACCATTATTGAGTAGATCTAGGTGTGACCTAGAAGTCCTTTCTCTCTACCTTTTACCCACTGGGCGATACCATTGTCATGACGGTAAGTGAAGAATGCATCCAATAGACTAGTTGGGGCAGATATCTGGATCAATCAGGATAGGCTAATTATTTTGAATTAACAACAAACTACAAATCCCCATAGACAATAAGAACAAAGGTTGACTTCTCAATGCCAGCACACATCCCTGGTTGGCTGTGCTCCATGGAATCTTTACTCAGGAACCCAGGCTGAGGAAACATTGGAACGTTATGGGTCATCGTGGCAGAGGGGAAAGAGCACGGTGAGCCACACGTCGTCTCCTAAATTTGTAACACACGTCACTTTTCGTGGCAAAATCAATCACCTGGCCAAGGCAGTCATCAATAGTTCAGGGAACTATAATCCTTCTCTAGGGAGGGGCCAGGAATATGAGTGAACAATAGAACAGTTTTCTATAGAGGGTCTTCAGTTACTATATTATTGTGGCAAGTCCATGATCCCATAGACCTAGAAAACTCTGGTCTCCTCACGGTACATGGCAAGAATTCACACGCCATACGACAAATGCCTACTTACCATCTTTCCTCAGGTAGTGGGGCTTTAAAACCAACCTTTCTCGAGAGGAGGTCACAATGACAAAATCCCAGTGGCTAACGACAGAAGTCTATCTTCTCACACACAGCCCGTCTGTCATGGGTTGGGCATTTGGATGTGCAATATACCCCTGCATTTGATGGAGACTGCATTTAATGACTTCCATTGAGGCCCCAAATGATTCTAAGATTGTCTACATCTATTCTGATTGCCCAGACGGTGCTGTCATAGGAAACTACATTCAAGGATTCCAATATGTCTTACGGTTTGTTGTTGTTGTTTTTAAGAAAAAAGTGCCTGACCTAATGAATGAACCATTATTACTTACGAGACATAATGTATGTCCTACATCAAACTGGACAATTTATGGTTTATTTCCATGACATTCTGTTCTTCCTTTTTCCCACATTGCCTCTCAGGTTCAAATACTTATTGTCAACCTGAAGTCACCTTGCTCTGTGAGGTTAATAGAGCAGAAAAAAAAGCCCTCCCCCAAAAACAAAAACACGTCAGTGAATCTCATTATCTCATAAGCCCAACAGCCTCAAGATCATTGTGACTTTTCTAGGAATTTTAGGTACTTGTAGTCACTTGTGGTTTTAGTGCCTGATGTATTGAGCTCATTTGGGGGTCATCTCCACAGTCTTCTCGGCTCTTGCATATCCAGACAGAAAACTCATGCCTTTCTCCCCACCTTTCCCCCTGCAAAAGCCCAGCAAAAGCCAACTGCCGCCAACACACTGTTCATACAAGGCGCTACTCACCAAAGGTTTGGTGTGGCTCAGCCCCCTCCCACTGGAAAGTCCCTCCCAAGGAACCACTTTTTTCTTTCCTGGCCTCCCCCTAGGATTCTGGCTTCCCAGGCTTTCCCTTAATTCAATCCCGTTTACTTTATTATGCAGAGCAATTTAATTCTCTTTCCTTCTACACTGCCCCAGGCTTGTTTTTGCATAGCCCAAGATTCATTAATGTCTCCATAAAACAAAAGGGCCATTTATGCAATACAGAATCATTGGCAGAGATTTAGTAATTTCTTTCTCATTTTCTCCTGCTACGCGGGTGTAAGAACGCTCTATGGAAATTTATTTTCCTCGTACAGGAAGGCTGAAACGGCTACAGTTGGGGTTTTAAATAACATTTTCCCTCCTCCTTTCAGGTACACATGACATAGATTTCTCACAAACTTATGTGAAACAAACTCCTGGTTTCAGAACTCCTTTCCACACTTAAACATTATTGAGAACCCTAAACAAAATTGGTTTCCATGGGCTTCATCTATTGGTATTTACCATATTAGAAATTAAAACAAAAACCTATACTATTCATTTAAAAACAAAACCAAATCCATTCCATATTAGCATAAATGAGATCCTTTTGGGAAAGAATACATTTCAGAAACAGAAAACCTGAGTGGGAATGGCACGGTTTTACTTTTTGCAAGCTTCTTTAAAGTCTGGCTTAATACAAGGCAGCTGTGGAGCATTCAGTGTTCTCGCCATGTGGCAAGTCCCACGGCCTCCGGAAAACCCAACTGTGCACCACGTGGGGTGGAATGATAGTGAAATAGAGCATCACTGGTGTCGGAAAGAGAATTTCTATCTTGCTGGCCGCGCTGGGTCAACCACTGTGTGGACGCATTCTAGCTGGGTTTCCTCTTTAGAAAGAAGACAAATGAACAAAGCAATGAGCTGGGGAATGAAATCTCAACCTTGAGCCAGGATGTAGGAAGAACTCATTGGCTAACCGGCATTTCATTTAAATTACTATAGGGGCGTCTGGGTGGCTGAGTCGGCTAAGCACCAGACTTGGGCTTAGATCAGATCGTGAGGTCAGATCTCACGTTTTGTGGGTTCGAGCCCCACAGAAGGCCTCTGTGCTGACAGCTCAAAGCCTGGAGCCTGCCTCATTTCTGTGTCTCCCTCTTGCTCTCTCTCTTTCAAAAATAAATATTAAATTAAAAAAAATTACTATGATTTAAGCGGGTATTTAAAAACTGTTCATCAAGGGGCCCCTCGGTGGCTCAGTTGGTTAAGCTCCCCCGCCCCCTCCACTTCAGCTCAGGTCATGATCTTGCGATAGGTGCGTTTGAGCCTGACATCAGGCTCTGTGCTGATAGCTCAGAGCCTGGAGCCTGCTTGGGATTCTGTGTCTCTCTCTCTTTGCCTCTCCCCCACTCACACTTTGTCTCTCAAAAAGGAATAAATGTTGCGGCGCCTGGGTGGCTCCGTCGGTTAAGCGTCTGACTTCGGCTCAGGTCATGATCTCAGGTCTGTGGGTCTGTGGGTTCGAGCCCCGCGTCGGACTCTGTGCTGACAGCTCGGAGCCTGGAGCCTGTTTCGGATTCTGTGTCTCCCTCTCTCTCTGACCCTCCCTGCTCATGCTCTGTTTCTCTCTGTCTCAATAATAAACAAACATTTAAAATGAATAAATGTTTAAAATAATTAAAAAACACACAACACTGTGCGTCAAGGATGAACAGAAACTGGGGACACTTCCGCCCTGGTCTCCATCTGATGAAGTTCCTCCTCATCCTTCAAATTGGCCTGCTCTGAGTGACCCCTCCTCTACTCTTCCCTACCACAAATAATAAGAATGAAAACAGTATTAACCGCATTGGTAACTTTTATTGACGAATCCGAGATAAGTCACGCCAAAACTTTACACGCGTTACCTCCTTCGATGTTCACAGTAACACCGAGCAAGGTGCCCCCGTAATTTTACAGATCAGGTGGCTGTAGGCTGAAAAATAAAGGCTTTTGGCCTCTGCTCTATGCCTGGCACACCTGCTCTACCCTCGCGCTGTACTGCATCCGGAGGTCACCGTGCACGTGCTTCTGTGCCTCGCAAGGTGAGTCCTTGAGATCCAGGGTCAGGCTGGGTCGCTTCCATGACACCTCAGCCCAGGCCCCCCGCGCGCTTGCGCGCGTGGCCGGGCCAGGCATGGGGAGAGCCGAGAGAAAGGGGCAGCCTTCGGGCTTCTCGTTTTCTCTCGATCCCTCGGCCGACGCGCCCCAAGCGGGGCCTCTCCCGGCATCCAAGCCCTCCGAGCTCTGCTGGCAGGCCAAAGGGGCGGGTGCGCGCGCCGCAGGCGTCCAGGCCGCCGCGGTCGCGCGCGGTCAGAACCCGGAACCTTTCTCCTCTCGCCGCAGTCACTCCGCGGAGGCCGGAACCTTTCTTCTCGGGTGGCGCTGGCGCGCGGGAGGGGCAGGGAGGCGTGCGGAGCCGGAACCGCCCTCCAGCGGCCGGGCGGGCGCACGCCGCGGTCGCAAGCTGCTGACGTGGGCCGGCCGCGAAGGGGGTCGGGGGTGTGTGTGGGTCGCCATGGCGGTGGATATCACGCTGCTGTTCCGGGCCAGCGTCAAGACGGTGAAGACGCGCAACAAGGCGCTGGGAGTGGCAGTGGGCGGCGGGGCTGACGGCAGCCGCGACGAGCTGTTCCGCCGGAGCCCCCGGCCCAAGAGCGACTTCTCCAGCCGGGCGCGGGAAGTGGTGAGCTGGTTGCTATGGAAACGGCGGGCTGGCAAGGGGGGCGGACCCGCGACGTGGACCCCAGACCCCCGCACCGGCCCCTGTGCTGTAGTCACTGTGTGAAGGAGAAGAGCCTGGAGAAAGTGGTGTGAAGTGGGCGACCCGAGGGCCGGCCCCAGAGAGCCGACAGCTGTCTTGGGAAGGGAGCAGCCTCATTTGGAGGAATGGGAAGGCGGGTGTGGGAACTCGACAATCTCTCGTCCGCAAAGTTCTCAGGGCTGCCTTGCGAGGTATTGAGCTCGCCGTCTCGGCCGACTTGGACCTCGGGGAAACTTCCCCACCGTCCTTTGCTCTTCTGTCGCGGCACCGACCACGGTGTTTTTGCCTCTTGAGTTTGCTCGCCTCGTCTCCCTCCCCTTCTGCTTCCCGGCTCAGTGAGATCAAAGGTCAGTCACCTGACCTCACTCTCCGCCTTGTCTCTTGCTGTCGGTTAAGGGCCCACGCGAGGGATCAGTAGGTCGTGATGGTGGTGTAGGGTGGTCTTTCACAAACAGCCTGTTACAGTCATCTAAGCCACTTTCTGGTCCCCAGGCACAGTAGGCTTTCGTTCAGGAGAGCAGAAAACTTCTTGAGGGCAGGAGCAGTGACCTCAGGATCCCCAGTGCCCGACTCCTAGCACCGCTGAGCAAATGTGTTTTGAATGAATGAACGAGTGAACGCATGGTCGTCTTCTCTTCCTCACTGAACAGGAAACGGAGTGGAGAGAGAATATTTTGCCCTGTTCGCTTTCGTATCCTTGACACTCGGAGCTTGAAGCTTCTACCATTTTTTTTTTTTAATTTATTAAGCTTCTGCAGTTCTGTCGGTCCCCTTTAAGAAATAAAAACATGAATCACAAGAAGAGGTTCAGAGCTTTGGAGGGGGCAAGTGAGGGTCCTGAAACACAAACTTCATTAATTTCACGGTGAATCCACTTCTCTTTGGCATGCAGTCTGATCGATGCCTGGTACTTTGTAGACACTCAGTTTTTTTTTTTTTTTAGTTTTTAATGTTTATTTTAGAGAGTCAGTGTGAGTGGGCGCGGGGCAGAGAGAGAGAGGGAGACACAGAATTGGAAGCAGGATCCAGGCTCTGAGCTGTCAACACAGAGCCCGACACGGGGCTGGAACTTACAAACTGTGACATCGTGACCTGAGCCAAAGACGGACGCTTAACCAACTGAGCCACCCAGGCGCCCTGACACTCAAATAGTTTTAAACGAATCTACACGAGCATGAATTAGCGTGTGGCAGTTTGCAGACAATATGCAAGGATCAGAAGGGGGATTGCGCCAGGTGAATACAGTCAGTCCATCAGTAAAGCTCTATTAAGCACCTGCCTTGTGACAATCACCTTGTTACAGGAACACAATTTAAAAAGAATGGTGGGGGAGACGGTAACAAAACAGATATCCTACAGCCTTATGGATGCAGTGTAGGCTACCACGGAGGAGGTGGTCAGTTCTACCTGAGGGCAGAGAAAGGCTTTAGAGAGTTGGTGATGCCTGAAACAAATCCTGAAAGAGGAGTAGATGATTTTAGTGCAGAGAGGGTGGTCAGTGGCATCTCCAGAGAAGAGAGGCCCGAAGACGTGGAAATAGGTAACGTTGATGCTCAATCTCTGTGTGCTCGGTGCATGTCTACCTGTAAAATTACATACCAGTTGGATAGTAATGACATTTCACATTTTTTTCCCTGAGGAACTACTTATATTGTCTGAGCTACTCCGAATAACGATGACTATGCCACTTTGCAGTGTTATTGAGTTGTCTGGATGAGCATTTGAGTGTAGCTGGAATCTGGGAACTTTGCAGGCCGGCAGGTGTTAGGTGGTAGAGAGAGCACTAGAGAAGGAATCAAGACACCAGGTGGTTGTCTTATCCCTGCAACTGTTAGCCGTATCAGGTTATTAAGCAGATTCTATGGCTTCAGTTTATTTACCTATAAAGGTTTCCCCCCCCCCCGCCCGCCCCCGAACAGCAGAAGACTTTTGAACTGCATTGATCCCCTGTTTATAGATCAGAGGAACAGCTTCTCAGGTTGCAGTGAGAGGAAAGGAAACCAGGACCTTTTCCCTCCGCCTCCCCCGTTTGGCCCAGGCCTTCCTGAGGCTCCTCAGGTAGAGTTGTGGTGTGCGAAGGTCACAGTTTGGGGCTTGGGGAGAGCCCTTTCTAACTCTGAAATCACTGGTTTGTTAACACTGTGCCAGTTTTGGGCCGTGTTCAGGGGTCGGGGGTACGCAGGTGGCGGGCACAGGAAGCGCAGTTGGGACAGCAGCCTGACGGAGGTTTCGGCCTCAGCACCCCCCCCCCCCCCCCCCCCCCCCCCGTGATGAGAATGTGCGTTAAGCGGGGCGCCTGGGGGCTCAGTCAATTAAGCGTCCGACTTCGATTCAGGTCATGATCTCGCGGTTCGTGGGTTTGAACCCCGCGTCGGGCTCTGTGCTGCCAGCTAAGAGCCTGGAGTCTATTTCAGACTCTGTGCCTCCCTCTCTCTCTGAGCCTCCCCTGCTCATGCTGTGGCTCTCTCTCAGAAATAAAACATTAAAAAAATAATGTGCGTTAGGCTTTTGAATTAATGAGCCTCAGGGACACTAACAGGCCTCTGAGCTGCTGAGTCTTCTGTCACTGGAGGTAATTAAACAGAGGGGTGACTGCTTGTCAGAGACGTTTGAGAAGAACGTGGCGCATTAGTCACAGGGTTCGCGGCTAGCCGCCGGAAGTTCCGTTTCTGAGCTTTGAGGGTGTGAGTGGTGTTCCGGCGCGGAGGCTGGTCACGTGGGGACGTAGGCTGCGTGGCTCATGCCTCCCGCCCCTCCGGGCCTGGGGAAGACGTGCGTTCTTTCGAGGAGTTCTGATTTTATGTTGCAGTTGCTTGGTGTATTACCTCCTGTTCTTGCAGCCATTCCCCGCACCCTCCCCACCCCCCCAGTTTAGTATCGAGCTGGCGAAGGGGGTTAGGGCGAAGGGGGTCCGTTACTCCTGCCACACTCAGACGTGTCAGGAGGCCGGCTGTTGTTTGTTTGTCCGGGATTCTTCCCACGTCAGAGTCAGGCCGGTGCCAGGAGCACGTATTCTGGGTCAAGGTTAGCGCTGGTCGTCAGACCTAAGGAAGAGTAGAGGTTCCGTAACGCCTCGCGTTGAATGCCTGCCTCCAAGCACTCACGGTCGTTTCTAGGAGGCACGTTACCAGGCAGTTCTCGTTCTTCTCGTCCCTCAGTTTGGACGAAACGCATTCCTGATGTCAGATTTCCATCTCATTGAATTGTCCTAGAGGATTTTTTTTTTATCAAGGTCAGTAAAACTGTGTTGAAACTAGATTTATAATTTTCCCTATGGGCTGGTTTCAACATCGTTCCTTTAAATATTTAACTTTTATGCTAGATTTTGTTGAATTCTGTATACTCAGTGCCTGTCTACCCGTTAAATTACAGACAGTGATAACATTCCTATCTCGGGGTGTGGAACCTGTTGTAGCTAAAGAACTCTAAACGATGATGACTGTGTCACTTTGCAGTGGGACCCTCACTAACTCGTGTAGAGCAAGAGGTGAGTGCGGAGGACCTTGGGAGTGGACAGAGTGCTGGGACGTGGACTCAGAAGACGTAGATTCAAATCTGGGTCCTGGTACTTAGCACTGGGCGACTTGGGCAAGTCCTCTTACCTGAGTGTCATTTTCACTTCTGTCCCCTGGGCATGGCCAGACCCTTTTGAGCTCCTAGGCTAATTCTGCCAACTTAGGAGACAGTGTATCATAGAGAACCGTACTGGTTCTTAGTCCCCATTGCCCCTGACCTTCACCCCACGTAGGCCATTTGGACGTTGTCATCAGTGGCTCTCAGCTGTATTCCCCAAACCGTTGAGCTTTCCTGTACTCGCCTTTCTTTCTTGCAAAGGGAAAACCAGGAAGTGCACGAAGGAATCTGAAAATCCTGCGCAGGTACTAATAGCATCGGTAGCAGAGATGGCGGCAGCATTGCTCTGTTAAGGTGACACTATTTTATCAGCAGTGGCACGTGTGTGGCAAGCAGGCACCTGTTCCTGTCTCTCCCTCCCTTTGACCATGGAGGCCAGTGTCAGTTCCCTAGTAGATCTTAGGGCTCAGAATCCTCTGCATCACTGTGGCTGAGGCAGCTGATTGTTGGGTGTGACGTTCAAATTGAAATCTGCTTGGCATCCTGCCTGATATGGAGTAAAAACAGAATCTGGACGCTTAAAGCAGAACCATGGACTTTTTTTCGTTGAATACTTAAATGGATCTTGAGTACATGTTTTTCAGGCTTCTCATTTTGTCTCTGAGAGAAGTAATTCCCTGATAAGCGACATGACTTGCTCCGAGTCATAGTAGCTGAGTCATAGGACTGAGCCAGAGGTGGAAGCCAGGTCCTTTGACCCTAGTTTAATGCTGTTTCCCACACTACATCCTCACACTTTAAATTTCCACTCTAATTGTAAGCCAGAAATTCCTTGGCTTTTGAATGGCAGTGAGTTCCTTCTTGAGTGAATACTGAATTTGTAACTAGATACTGAATGGGTTCAGGGCAGAAAGACCTGAGTTTGAATTCCCGGTACTTATTGTATGGACTTGGGCAAGTTACTTAACCTCAGTTTCCTCCATTACAAAATAAATAGTAGCAACCACTAAAGGTTGTTACACAGATGAAGTGAGAAAAGGTTTGCATCAATGTGAATTCTTTTGGTTGCAAGTAGCAGTAACCTAATGTAAACTAACCTGAGCAAAATGGGAATGCCCTGCCCTGGCTCATATACCTGCGGGACACAGGGACCAGAGCTCCCGTCTCCAGTTCTTATCCTTAAAGCCTAGGAAGGAACTCTCGTTGGTTCTGCTTGGATCCGGAGCCCTCATGAGGGCCTTAGGGGGATAAGGTTCTTCATATGGCCACAGGTCGTATGTCCACCCCGATGTGTGGCCAAAGGTGGGACGGATACTAGGATTGTCCCCTCTCTAGAACCTTGGACAAGG